TAAAGGGCGAGTGCGATATATGTCTCATAAAACGAATATTTTATACTATTTTTTCTATTTTGGTATTGTTCAATTAAAAAAAAAAAAAAAAAATCTTGGAAATTTTATTCTCATATTTCTTGATTTCATATGTTTAGGTTGGTAACACTATATTCCAAATATAGAATTAATGGCGATTTCCATTTGTCAATCAGTGCCACTGAGTATATCCGCATCTTTTTCTAAAAGCATGTAACATCTAAGGATAAGGATACATTTTTTTTGCACTGGTTCGACAAATGGAAAACGCTATTAATCTTCTATAAAATCGCGAATGACAGTTCGATGGCCATCAGTCCGCCAGTGTTACCAACTTCCAATAAGTAAAAAAGGAGTCACAAAGAGCTTCTTTTCGAAACTACTTTTAGTGTCGAAAAGACTTCGATATGACACCAAAATAGAAAATAGTACATTAAAATAAAAGTTTCATAAGACGTCATTTTATCGCACGAGTCCGACTATATTAGAAAACGAGCTGGAGGCGAGTTTTCTAAAGGGCGAGTGCGATAAAATGTCTTATGAAACGAATATTTTATACTATTTTTTCTATTCTGGTATTGTTTAATTAAAATAAAAAAAATTCTTTGAAATTTTATTCTCATATTTCCTGATCTCATATGTTTAGGTTGGTAACACTACATGCCAAATATAGAATTAAATCTTCTATCAGCGATTTCCATTTGAAGAATAAGTGAAGAAAAAATATATCCCTATCCTTATATTTTACATGCTTTTAGAAAAAGACCCGGATACACTCAGTGCACACTGATTGACAAATGGAAATCGCCATATAAAATCGCGAATGACAGTTCGATGGCCATCAGTCAGCCAGTGTTACCAACTCCCGATAAGTAAAAAAGGAGTGTCACAAAGGCCTACTTTTCGAAACTACTTTTAGTGTTGAAAAGACTTCGATATGACACCAAAATAGAAAAACTATATTATAACAAAGTAAACTGTAATTAGCTTGAAAATATTCCAAATAAACTCAAGATAAACGAACAAACGTCAAAGTTTCCACACTCGCCATATTGAAAAATCACGTGGTTTGGAGTGCCTAATTGGGCCACCTTGTATACTGGAAACTAATTTCGGAATGTAGTACCTACTCATTTATCTACAAGTTTTGTATTTAATTTTTTCTTCGATCTCCGTTAGCATAGGAGATATGGACAACCGCGCACTTAGTAATTCACCCTGTATTTGCATAAAGATATCCGAGGAAGTATGACCACGTCACGCCTCTGTTTGATACTTCTGGATGGCTGAAGCTTCATGAAAGATAGTTAATTCATATACCTACACTTGCTCATAAGATTGTTCATGATGGCTCACCCAAGTATTATGACTGATAAGCTTATTCTCAGTTCTGCTATTGATGGAAGGCAAATGCGTAATTCTCATGATCTCTGCGTACCAAGGCACAGAACCACTAAATTCCAGGGTTCTTTCAGTTACAATGCGGTAAAGGTGTACAATGACTTTCCTGATGGCATCAAGTCCCCGATCTCTTTTTCCATTCTTAAGAAGAAAGTGAAAGAACATATTTTGCAGAAACGCAAATGAACTTGAATGCGTTTGAAGGGAGTATGTGTGTATGTGTCTATGCTTATAATGCTTATATTCTTTTTTCTTTATTATTTTTATTTTTATTATAACTGGGGTATTTAATTTAATTTGTTAATATAGGACGTTTAGATAGAATAGCTATGCTAGATCTCGCCGTCCATACATGATTTTCTCGTAATTATTATTTTTATTGAATAAAAGGCATTTATTATTGTAATTATAATTATTATTATTATAGAATAAACAATAAACAGTGACAAAAGTATTTAAATCGACACCATCATAATGAATTTATTATTTTGGGGTCGATGCAGGAATAACACCCACTAAGTTTATCGAACCTGTGGAATTCTCAACCCCTAACAAATTAATTCCCCAGAATTTAAATGAGATATTTTTGCAGTGTTTACATTAAACCTCTCCATATACCTAAGATAGGTATCTAATTATTTATTAAATTGTTAACAATCTGAAACACACCCATTTATTTCTAATGCACATAAAAATTTACACCAGGAATATCTTATCAATTGAAATGACACTTGAATAAAGCGTTGTTGATTAAAAAAAGATTAAAATACTAGTAAAAATATTTGTTTAAGGTTTTACCCCCTGCGATTATTTTTAGAAAACTAGATTTTAATAATATTATTGCATGGTAGGTACAACTTTGTTATTATCATTTATAAAAAGACGTTTCTCGACCCTGATTCTGATAAAACGCACTTTGTTGTTCGTACAATAATTTTTATCGTTAAAAAGTATTGCCCCTATGCTTACGTAGTTTGGTAATGATAAAGTGGTACGATTGTTGCAATTGACTTCTGAAATGACGTTGATTGTTTTGAAAGCCTAGTTTTTGATATATTTTTATCAAAATAGTTGATCTTCATTATGAAATTGTTCCGATAATAAATATTGGTCTTATCCACTTCTGGTTTGTGTGTAATAATTTTTTTTATCTAAGCCTTTTTAAGCTTTATATTGGCCAAATACTTTGTTTTTGTTTTAGCACTTGCCCTTGAATATTTTGCAAAAAACTTATGTATTGGCTTTATTTACGCATAACGGTACAAATAATGACGTATTTTTAATAATTACTATGATATTTATTTATGTTTCAACTAGACCACTTAGGTACTTATTATATTTTTTTTAACTTCAACTATTTTCAAGCATTAAATATAAGTAGGCAGGTACCTACATCATAGGTGCAAACATTTCTAATAACTATCAAATCAATTATTTAAGCATAGTAACAGGTACTTACAATTACTGGTCTAGCCGAATATAAAGACTTAAAACGAAACATTTTTTCAACTATCAAAATTTGAACAAATCTAATCACAAAATACCATTTTAAATTTTACCAGATGAAACATAATTACGGACACAACATGTAGTTTCAGTTAACAAGAAACATTGATACTATTGAGTTGGGTTCCAAACTTGGCCCATTTTTTAGGTTTGAAGAATACCTAAATACAACTTTTTTTGTGTGTCAACGAAATATGCATTGCATTTTATCAAAATAAGTTTGCCAGATTAATGAGTAAAAAATAAACAAAAATTGTTTTCACTTGTTTATCGTACCTTATAGCTTCTTTTTAACCATGTCCGAATTATAAATTATAAACCCATAAACTGTTTACTTGAAAAAACAATGCCATATTATTCCATTTGTATATGTAGACTCAAATGATTTACAATTTTATTTTTTAAGGTACAATACACCCTAGGTATTAAATTGTTTTATTATAAATTTTACTAAATAATAATGGCAAAATTTTGAAAAGTGTTACGACTTCCTAAACATCAAAGAGTCGTTCGCAGCAGTCATTTTTCTAAAGCTTTCGATGTTTCAATTGTAAAAATCTTGGTCAAGGGTCAATAAATCACTAAAAAGTGGAAATGTCCACGTCATCACTATACCTAATTTAATCATTTATTTAACTGGAATTTGAAAAAATGCTGCCTTTAGATGATTCACTTTGCGCTTCTGGAGTAGCATCTCAAGTACTGTTTTGAAACCTCACTTCAAAACCGTTAGTAAATATCGGAATCCGAATATCATATAAAACTCGCCTTTGTTGAACAGATCACAAATCAATGCTAATAAAATGGGCATTCCGAAGAAAATTTGATGTGGAAAAATAGATTTATTGAAAAATTGGGAGTATTTGGATGCCTTAACCACCTAAGGGCAGTAAAATATAAAAAAATGTCTCTTGTCTTTCAGTAATTGAATAATTTAATTGCAAATTATACAAGAAGAAAAATAATCTGGAAAATGTGTAAAAGTAAGAAACAAAGAAATAATTTCACGTAAAATAAAAACTCAGGAGGAATTTGAGCAGTTAACAAAGAATTTCAAGCCAATTTATACAAAGTATGGGCACTGAAAACGAGACACAATAAAAGTAAAAAGCCTGGTAGAAAGGTTTTAACTGGAAGATTTCAACTTTGCAGCAATTGGTATTTTGAATTTTTAGCACTAAGCAAATCCTAGGCTTTAAGCCAACTTGATGTAAACAGTTAAATCAAAAAAGAAGATTCCATTGGAGTACTGGAAGTGGTACTAGATAGATAACAACAACAAACTTGAAACTTGAAGTTTTTGTATGTACCTAGTGGAAGAAACTTCACAGAAGATTTAACAATTTTATAGCTGGAAATGGATTTGAAAGACCAAATCATGAATTGTGCTTTGGACATAAGTCGGTGGTTCGTATTATTTCGAAGCATGCAGAAAGGATGAATTTTCTATGATGTTTTCCATCTTGAGAGGCAATAGGTAAAAGACGCATTTATAGTAAAATAGTATATTGTTGTATTAGGAGTAGAAGCTTCACTTTTTTGTGCTGAAGCGGTAGGTTTGCGAGCCGAACGTAGTGAGGCTTGCAATACTGCTGAAGCACAAAAAAGTGCTTCTACTCCGTATGCAACACGCTATTTTTTCTCCAAACGCATGGGGTAAGCTCGGGGGCAAGTGAATGGTTGAGAGGCAGTAAAAGTACGAGCGGCACTAAAAGTACTTCTACTACCGCTCCAGCGGCACTAAAAGTACTTTTGCTGCCGCTGGGGTTGCCAAGCAGCATAGAAATTAAATTTCTACCACCTCGATAGGTGTTAACCCGCTGGATTTGCCTAGCAGCATAGAAATCAAATTTCTGACATCTTGACAGGGGTTAACAAAGTGACGTTTTTCTGACGTTTGGAGAAAAACAACTTTTGTTGCATAGTAACAATTTGTTGGCTTGATTGTGAATTATAAATTAGCAGTGAAAATTAAATAAAATGCATATCGTAATTGAAATTAGTAGGCAAATTTAGTAATTGTAATTATGGACAAATTGCAAAACGAAATCTGATTGCCAAGATTTTAAACTCACCTGTTTTGTACTACTAAACATCTTGATAATTTATTTAACAAAAAAAATCGCGTCAATTTGACTGATGTAATCCCAATAGTTCGCACTGTAAAAAGTCACCACCTATTTCACCATCAAGAAATAGTCAATAGATACCAAAGAAATCGCTCTAGCTAGATCAGGCAAAAATCATAAACAAAAAATTAGTGTTACCGATATACGTTGGTCTCGTTTATAATCAGATATTAACTATTCAATGGTAATTTTCAAACTAATTATGTAGTCTGTTTCAACGTGAAATTTATAAAATCGAAATTTTGAAAAAAGGATGATGCTTTCTTATCTGTTTACTGATATTACTTCGACAAAAACAATAACATGACCAGAGATAAAATGGCGCAAGATTCCATTTACATATGTGTAGGTACGTGTTTTTAAGAAGAGAAAAATAGTTTCTTAAGCGCAACTGGTTTGCGAAATTGTTATTGAAAATTTAGGAAGAAATAAAACTTCATTCAAGTTTGCCGCCGTTATACTCTGGGTATCACATACCATGACTCAACACAAATGCGGCCTGCTGAAGTAACAATAATCAATCATTTTCTGGCTGGATATCTGGCCGAATATCACCTGTCTCATAGGCAGATTGATTATAGCTACCAAATACGTTGACCGTACAGCCATTCACGCCTCTCGCCTCTCGCCAGTTGTTTGTTATCCACAACTTGTTTTCATCATCCTGATTTCCTTACAATAACTGATCTCATGTGATGACGTGAGAGGCGGCTCCTCTTTATATCTCAGGACTTGTATAATCAACAGCTTTGGGATTTCCAGTCGTCGTAGTGCCTATGCCATAGAACAAATAATGAGGAGTTGTCAAGGACCATGTTATTATTATAGTACAGCAACATTCAGGTGTTAAAAAAGGAGAATAAAGTAAGACGCTATCAGTCTAATGTAGCAATGCCCTCTCGCGTAAGTTGCCGTATGGAAAAGTATGAAGCCACTCGTGTGCTGCACCTGCAACTGAGCAACACTGGACCTGGATCTGATGGAGGATGACTTTTGGGTTGGTTCGCGATACTTTTGGGTTGGTTCACGATACTGGTGGTGATTTGGGTTAGTTCGCATTTTTCTTCTTTTGCATCCTACCAGGTCCTGACAATCCATTCAGTCCAAACTAATGACCACCACCGAGCCTAGAAGGTACACCACATGCGGTCGATATATAGCATACAAAAACTGAACGTAGCCTGGACTGGAATGTCTGTTCGCTCATAGACATTAATAACAGCAAGAAACCATAATGGAGAACGGCAATTAAGGCATGTAAGCTGAAATCATGCAACATCGAGATCCCTACCCTAAATCAAACAAGACGGGCTAGCGATGGTCAACTCCAGAGAACATGGCGGAGGCTATAGTTAGAACCAACTAAGAAGAACCCCTGACGTCATCACCGACGAAGAGGGCAAATTTTTTTTTCTCTAGGGGCGTCCCATTTGAAATGAAACAAAAGATCACGCGTTGGCTTCTTCTTAGTTGGTTTTATCTATACAGGCCAATATCATTGTTGTCCAACCTTTCCAGAATAATTGAGAAATTAGCGAAATCCAGAATGACTTCTTTTCTTGATAATAAAAATATTTGAAGCCCTTTCAGTGTGGATTTCGCTCTGGGAGAAGCACTAACGATGCCATCTACAAATTTCTGGAAACATTCGCCAATAAATGGATAGATTTGAGAAGAATATCGAAAAGTTGGAATGTGAATTGAGATCAGTGATTGTCTCGGCTTCTACTACAACCAGAATTAAAGTTAAACCACCACCATATGACGGACAGACACCGTGTGCCATGTACAGACGTCAATTCGGGACTGTTGCAATGGCTAATGGCTGGAGCGCCGATGACATGGCTACAGGCTTGATTGTAGCATTGCGTGGTTCTGTCTCAGACCTATTAGAGAATCTTCCGCCCAGCTTCCCTTCAAAACTATGGTATGCTTGTTGATGCGTTAGAGCGGCGTTATGGAGATCAACATCACAGGCAGCTTTACCAGGTACAACTGAGGACAAGGCAACAAAAAGCTGAAGAAAGTCTACAAACATTTAAAACTGACATCAGGAACGGCTTTCACATGAAAACGTTAGTCATTTATTAGTTGATATTTGCATAGAATTCTACTAGTTCAAAATTATTCTTATTGGACGAAGATGCAAAACTAGTCAGTTTCACAATGGTCCATTTTATCCTCCCGTTCTGGTTATATGGCCCATACCTAAAACTGCATAGAAATACAGAAATTTTCAATAAAGTTAAAACTGGTTATGCAAATATTTATATGTATTTTTGACAGAGGGGGAAAGGATAATTAAATAACACAGCTCACAACACTTAATATCATCGAAGTCATCAGGCGCAAGACCAACACATTTATCATGGCCCGCGCGGGCATTCCTCTATGTACTATGGGCCCTATTATCCGAAGATACAACTAAAAAAATATTGTCATTAAAAAAAGGAGCGAGTAGTCACATCAACAAAACATTATATGGTTATAGACCCTGAGATAGGGCCTGTTTAGTGGAGTCAGTTTTTTTTGTCTGGCATTTTGAGGGATGAATGTGACTAGTTAGCTGATGAGAATATAAGTGGTTTTAATGCCTGCCCCCTGTTCGAAATGTCCACAGAATGTTTCGCCGGAAAACTCGACTTCGAACTGTGATTACCGTCTGGCGATTTTTCAGCGTTATTTTCACAACAAAACCTCCCATTCTCTCGATTACCAGGCAAAAAGTAAACGCAGAAGGTTCTTTTCTTTTTTCTTGGAAGTTGACACTCATCCCCACTTTTTCAGCTATTGAAAAGCATCTGGTATTTTTTATGGGTGAATTATTAATCAATGTCAATCTTTTATTTAGAAGCCAAAAAATTTGAGATCATAAAAAAAAAAACAAAAATTCTTCATGTTAATCAATTTTTTTCTTCTGCAAATTTTCGAACGGGAGGCAGGCATTAAAATCACCCATATTCTCATCAGCTTAGTAGCCACATTCAGCTCTCAAAATGCCAGACAAAAAAAAATGACTCCACTAAACAGCCCCTATCTCACAGTCTGTTAGATAGGGTAGATTCGCCTATAGTCGGCCCCCACCCGGTACTCGGCCGTTGTTGCAATTTTATATAAATATTAGGCGATTCCGTCCATAAAATCAAAGACCTACACATTTGAAAATTCGTTTAATGTATATTCTACCTAATCCATAAAATTTTATCACAGTCCGGCAACACCGTTTTTTACAATGACAGGTGAAAATTGTGGTACACGTCGTGTTCATAGAGGTAAGCAAATTTAAACGATTTTATTTTCAACCACATATGTAATGTTGACATTGCAGGTTTTTCAAAATCTTGAAAGTGTCACATTTCTGGACTTTGACATTTATCGGGACGGTAATGCATATGCCTGCCTAGGACGGAAAAGCATTTTCCGTCCGGGACGGCAAATGCTTTTCCGTCCCCATTTCCCTGCTCGTTCCAAATTGATAATTTTCATACAGCTCTCACATATAATAATAAAACCACATGTATTACATGGAACTAATTAAATCTATTCACTTATTTACATTAATTGTTAAATTAGCATTGTTGTTTATAATGGAAATCTTGAGACCATCCTGTTGGAATTGTGTTTCGTTTGGAACTATTATCTCTTGCGCTTGCGGATGAGTTTCCGCATGTGATGTACTTGTGGATGCACTGGACAACTGAATACCTTTGGAAGTAGAGGATAGCATCAGAGCAGTCTTACTTTTGTTCTCCAAAGATGCCTCTATGTAGCCTTCAGCAACCGTGCTCGATTTCCACCCTCCCAGTCTTTTGAGTTGCAATAGATCGGCCCCGTTGTCAACCAATAAGGTTGCGGAAGTACGACGAAAAGCATGCCCTGTAAAAGTTTCAATTTTTGGAAGCTTCAAAAAAGCAGCTATTTTATGTGGAAATTTTGAGATTGAATGATAGCCAATTGCTTGGTTATGTAATTTCCCATTTCGCCATTGAACAAATAACCTGTCATTTTTCAAATTTTTCCGCAAAGTGAGGTATTTGTGGAAAATAGCAACCCAATCTGGATCGCTTATGATAAACGATCGACTTGTGTAAGTTTTTGTGTGTGGAATTTCTATAGCGATCTTTCCTTCCAAAACGTTGACGTGCTCCATTTTCATCTTGACTAGTTCATCGCTCCTACATGCACCCGACACACCAACAATTAGCGCTACCTGAAACCAGATAAAAATAAAATGGGTAACCTAGCTATAGCATACAGAAAATCATTTTGATTTTCGCATTTTTATCTTCTTTGTATATTTTTTGAAAACCTACCTTGATGCTAATGAATTCTTCAGCTGCCTTCGTGAGGAACTCGTTAATGTTTTCTCTGGAAAAAACGCTCGACTTTTTCGGCTGAAAGCCCAGATTTTGCCGCTTCAAAAAAGCTATAAGTTTTGCGTAATTGGAGATATCAACTTTCTCTTTCAATTTAATCATGGTTTTCAACATACTGTAAGTCGACCATAAAGTCGAAGGCTTCTTTTCCTTAGATAATTCGCCAAAATACGCCAACAAAACGGTCTCCGAGGCAGTATTTCTCGTTCCTTTCTGGCTACACCATGCTTCGAATATTTGAAAAGCCTTTTCGTACCGAAATTTGCTTTTTGCTGGAAGCAAACTCTCTCCAATCCTGTCTGCTGCTTCTTTTAATTCAGGTGGGGTACAATCCATCGCTTCATCTTCACTTTCCGAAATCATTTCTTTGGGGAGAACGGGGAGAAATCTAGTGAAAATCTATTATTTCCGCAAAAATACTGAGCGAAAACTACCGTCGTTAAGGCGTTGTTGATCTTATCTATGGTTGTTGATTTTGCGGTTTCCTGTGGTTTCGTCTTTTGTTTTGGCCTTTACAGGGCCTTTGAGATCGTCAAAATTGATGAGATTGACAAAAAAAGTGAAATATTTTTTTCTAAGGCCAGTTTTACACTATATGAAAATTTCGTATAACAGAATCTTTAGTTTTTGCATCAGAAAATTAAGGGTTGAAAATAAAAAAGTATACAAACCTCGACGGAAAACTTCATTTCTGTCTCGAGGTTGAGTTTATCTCGACGCTTCGCGTCTCGATAAACTATAATAACCTCTCGACCAGCAATGAAGTATTTTCCGTCTCGGATTGTAATATACTATTGCTTGTTAGGG